GTGGTGTCTCTGAATATATTCAGTAATGAGGTGAAATATTGGGCGTAGAGGGTTTCCTGGACCAAGACCAAGATCCAGGATTTTGGAGGCCTGTAAGGGGAAACTATTCCATCAATACATATTTGCAGAAAGGACGTTTAAGTCACACAGAGAGCTTGACATATGTTGGTAGTGCAGTTCATGATTCTAGGTTGTCAGGTCAGGAATCAGACTGATTTGTCTGCTCTATGAAAGTGCAACCTTGCCTTGGAGTTGCATCTCATTGCATTTTGTAACAAGTCCCTACACCTGATCATTGAGTACAGTGATAAGACCATATGTCCATAAAACGGCTACACCGTGAGACCAGCATGGGACCTGTTACTTGCATAATCTGAGACTACCAACTCGGGCTTATATGCACCTATTTCTTTTCCCTGTGGATGATACTGCCCATCAGGTTGTCTCTTCACGGGACAATCCTGGGTGGGATTTGTGAGTGTTGGGCTCAGTATTTGAGCTGTGCCGGACCCAGGAACCAGCAGGGCTGGTAGTGGTATTGAGCAGGGGTGGATAGAGGAGCTAGAGATGTGGTTGAGGGCCTGGCTAGTGGCTTACCATGGGACCCCCGTTGCTGGAAGCAACGAAGATCATACACGTATATATACTATGGTATATATGAAACTCTGTCAAAGACTAAATCATGATTTTTAGATATCTGGGGTAATCTTATGTAATAAACCAATATTTTTTCCTCCTTACTCTTATGTTTTGATTCTCATCCTTCTCACAGGCTCTCTTCTTCCTCTCTCATTTTTTCTCTGAACGGCCTCATGCCTATGACGTCCCTCGCCAGGCTCGGCCTCCGTATATAAGGCCGCCTCCCTGGCTCCGAGGCCACGAGTCCCCTCTCTCGCCAGCCATGAAGACTTCCTGCTTGCCGTGACGCCCTCCTCGCCGTCGGCTTCGTCAGGTGAGACCAGCGCCTCTATTTAGCTATATATATATACACACATGTATATGCACACATACATAAACGCACAAATATATATATGTATATATATATTTATATATATACATTCGTATATATACATTTATATATATTTATAATATATATATATATATATTATATATATATATATATATATATATATATATATATATTTTACATATATATACACATACACACACAACACAAATACACACACACATACACATATATACATATATATATGTATACTACCTAATATATGTGTATGTATATATGCATGGGCATAACACACAGAAACACACACACACACACACACACACACACACACACCACACACACACACACACACACACACACACACCACACACACACACACACACACACACATATATATATATATATATATATATATATATATATATATATATGTACACAGTATATGTATGTGAAAAGTTGGGGGTTGTGGAGTTAGTGGAATGAAAGAGGACTTTGCTTGCTGGTTTATTGGGCACGGTAAAGGTGTGCCCCGTGCCCGGGTGCTGGGGCGGAGGGTGAGCTGTTCTGTTCAGCGTCTGCTCTTGTTCTCCTGTCTCTCCGTTCTCTTCTACGTCTGCCTGCCGAGACGTCCTTTTATCCAGCGCCTCCTGTCCTGGGCAGGTGCCTGCTTCTGTTTGAAGTGTCAGTTCTTCCGGCCGTGACAAAGGGGGAGAGTTCGTCGGAATTGCTTGAGGGGAGAAAGTACTTGGGCATATAAGGCTCTATGTATATATATATATATATATATATATATATATATATATATATATATATAAATGTATATATAAATGTATATATATAATATATACATATGTACACACACAAACATACACATATGTATATAAATATATATATGCATGTATACTGATATATATACATGTACATAAATTCATATGTATATATATATATATATATATATATATATATATATATATATATATATATATATACTCATACACTCACATCCACGCCCTCCGACATAAGCACAAACACACATGCACCAATGCACTCACGCATACATACACACACACACACACACCAGTGCACTCACACATACATACGGACACACATACATATATATACATACACATACATGTCATGGTAACAATAACATTTATAAATGATAATGGTCATCATTATCATCACAAAAGTAACAGTACTAGTTTCAATGCCATTACAATAGTAACAGCTGACCATTTCCTTTCAGCTCCCAGTCGGAGCCCTGGTGCCGCTGTGCGATGTTCGTGTCGTCCAACACGCAGAGATCATGGTCTACGAGTTGCCTCAAGTCAACATCACCGACTGCAACAGCCACAACCAGTGCAAGAACCGCTGCACAAATGAGGTGAGAGTGCTTTAGGGACCTGACAATGAAGGAGGGTTCTCGGTTGAGTTGTTGCACTTTGCGAAATGATGAATGGTCATCTTACAGGAGCATAAAACTATATAACCCTTTTCCAGTTCAACGAAATGACTAACAATATGGAACTTGTG